GTCTTCACATTTTTTTTTTTTTTTTGAGGCAGGGTCTTGTTCTGTCAGGCTGGAGTGCAACGGTGTGATCATTGCTCACTGCAGCCTCGACCTCCTGGGTTCAAGCAATCCTTCCACCTCAGCCTCCAGGGTAGCTGGGACTATGGGCACATGCCACCACACCAGGCTAGTCTTATTTTTCGTAGAGACCAGGTCTTGCTATGTTGCCCAGGCTGGTCTCAAACTCCTGGCCTCAGTGATACTCCCACCTCAGCCTCTCTAGTAGCTGGTATTACAGGCCTGACCCCCTATGCCTGGCCCTTCACTACTTTTCTTTATTTTAATTTTTGAGTCAGAGTCTCCCTCTGCCACTCATTCTGGAGTGCAGTGGCATGATCACGGCCCACCACAGCCTTGACCTCTGGGCTCGGATGATCCTCCCACCTCAGCCTCCCAAGTAGCTGTGGAACTGGAGGCCTGCACCACTACACTCAAGTGATTTTCTGATGCTCTGAAGAAACAAGGTCTTGCTACGTTGCCCAGGCTGGTCTCACGTTCTTGGGCTCGAGCAATCCTCCTACCTCAACCTCCCAAAGTGCTGGGATTGCAGTGTGAGTCGTGGGACCGGCCCCTCGCTACTATTTTTTTTGAGTTGGGGTCACTCTGTCACCCAGGCTGAAGTGCAGCAGCATGCTCATGGCCACTGCAGCCTCCACCTGCTGGGCTCAGGTTGGCTAAGTTGCCCAGGCTGGTCTTGAACCTCTGGACTCAGGCAATCTTCTCGCCTTGGCCTCCCAAAGTGCTGGGATTACAGACATGAGCCACTGCGCCCGGCCCCTCACTACTTTTAACCAGCTGTTAAACTATGGAAAGGGTACCATATCCAACTGCCTTTTACTGTCTGTGTTCCCTCCCTGAGGGGAGGAGACATTCTTTTTTTCTTCCATTTCTCAGAGGGCAAACAGCCTCAGAGATATGGTGGAGTTCCCCAGGACCCAAACACGGGCCCATGTTGCCCAGCCCCATCCTGGCATGTGGTAATAGCCACACGGGGGTGTCCCTTGCCCCCTGCCAGCACAAAGCCTGGCACACCGCAAGAGTCTTCCCATGTTGCTGACCGACTTTCAGAAGGTCCATGTCCTATCTCTGGCTTCTTCCCCTGAGTCCTTTGTCTCTGAGACTCCAGCAGAAAAACAAAAATGAAAACAACATCAGCAGAGGGGCTGGCACCATAGCAGAAATCTCACTGCAACACCCGACCTTGAATCTGACCCTGACTATAACTGGGTCCCAGGTGTAACTCCCAGTTCCTCAACATGTGAGGAACTGAGAAACAGGTAAGTGACATCACAGGGACACAACCGGTTCCACATAAACCACAAAGCCCAAGGAACAAAGGCCCTAGGCCTCCTGCAAGTCCAATGCAGAAGAGATCAACTGTCTTCATGCAAGCAAGCAAACTGGAGGAGAAAGCCCTTTACCACTGAGGAAAATCTAACGGGCATCGACCGGCCAAGACATGCAGAAAACCTTTATTTCTTTTTTTTTTGAAAACCTTTGTTTCTAAGAGGGGTAACTGAGAACCAATCCCTGATTTCTTGTTGTTGTTGAAGTGGAAGGACTGTCTGAGTCCAGGGGTTCAAGACTTAAGGCTGGGCACAGTGGCTCATGCCTGTAATCCCAATGCTTTGGGAGGTAGAGGCAGGAGGATCACTTGAGGCCAGTTGTTAGAGGCCAACCTGGGCAACATAGTGAGACTCCATCTCTACAAAAAAATAAAATTAGCTGGACACAGTGGCACGTGTGGTCCCAGCTACTCAGGAGGCTGAGGTAAGAGAAGTGCTTGAGCCCAGATCAAGTCCAGCCTTGGCAACATAAAAGACCCCATCGCTATTTTTAAAAAGAAACAAAAAACATGCTTATATTTAGGGTAGTGAACTATTCTGTATGATACACTAGTGGTGGATATGTGTCATGATGCATTTGTCCAACCACACAGAATGTAAAACCCCAAGAGTGAGCCCCAACGTCAACTGTGGACCCTGGGTAACAGTGATGGTCAATGTTGCTTCATTGATTCTAACAAATGTGCCACTAGGGTTTGAGATGATGTCCCTGGGGGAGGCTGAGCACACATGGGGTCTGGGGATACCTGGAAACTGTCTGTATGTTCTACACAATGTTGTGTGAACCAAAAACTGCTCTAAAAGTTTAAGTTAATTATTGCCTGTAACCCCAGCTACTCAGAAACCTGAGGTGGGAGGACTGCCTAAGCCCAGGACCTCAAGGCCAGCCTGGGCAACATAGTGAGATAGTGAGACCCCATATCTTAAAAAAAAAAAAAAAAAGGTTTTAATGGCTGGGGGCAGGGGATCATACCTGTAAATTAATTTAAAAAGTATTTTTAAAAGAAAAATAGAAGAGATTTAGGACACATATCAGCCACAACCACTGTGGACCCTTTACAGATCCTGAGATGACTTGGAACGTCTGAAAACAGACTGGGGTGGAACACTAAGAAGGAATACTGTCAATGTGTCCACCCGGGACAGGGATTTTGTTAAAGGGTTTTTATCAGTGAGGGTCACACATGGGATACCTGTGGAGATGATGGCAAGATTGCTGGCTTTTAATTTTTTCGAGATAAGAGTCTTACTCTGTGGGCCTGGCTGGAGTACAGGGGTGCAATCGTAACTTGCTGCAGCCTTGACTCCTGGGCTCAAGTGATCCTTGCCTTAGCCTCCTGAGTAGCTGGGACTACAGGCATGTGCTATCACACCCAGCTAATTTTTAAATTTTTTTGTAGAGACAGGGTCTCGCTATATTGCCCATGTTGGTCTCAAACTCCTGGGCTCAAGTGATCCTCCTACCTTAGCCTCCTGAGTAGCTGGAACTACAGGCATGTGCCGCCACACCCAGCTAATTTTAAAATTTTTTTGTAGAGACAGGGTCTCCCTATATTGCCCAGGCTGGCCTCAAACTCATGGACTCAAGTGATCCTCCCACCTCAGCTCCCAAAACATTGGGATTAGAGGAGTGAGACAACGTGTCCTTTCTAAACCCCCAGCCTGGAAGGGTCTGGGCCTCAGATCTGATGCCTCCCCAGCTCATGCCCCCCTCCCAGGGCAGGTCCCAGGCCTCACCATGGTGAAGTAGGTGGCCGCCTGCTCCAGCAACCCCACCAGCCCCAGCTCCGTGAAGTGCTTCCCAGAGCAGAAACCCTCCTCGTCGGGCGACAGGATGTCATCAGAGATGGCAGACTCTTCCAGCACGTTGGATGAGACGTTCTGGGGCAAGAGAGGTGGCTCAGACCCCAGTGCCCCCCAAGAGCAGCCCCGCCAGCCCCCACAGCCACTCACCTGGAAGGAAACGCATCCCACGGGCAGGTGGCGTCGGTCCTCCAGCAGGGCCAGATACTCCGCTACCAGGGCGGCCGCATGCACCATGCACTGGGCAGCCTCCGCGTGGTTGCCCAGCTCTGCGTGCTTCCCCGCCATGTTCTGCAACCATGTCAGCCGCAGGTCTGGTGAGCCCTGGTAGCCCCGGGCTATCCTGGCCGAGCAGAGTGGGAGGATGTGAGGAGGGGGCTCGACCGGTCCTCTCCACCCACCCCCTGCCCATTCCCCTTCAGTGGTTACCCTGATACCTGGTCATGGACAGTCAGTCTCCTCACCTGCACCCCTCTCCCCTTTCTCCCACCTGGTTATCCCCTCACCTGTCTCCTCACCTGTTGATTCCCTCACCCATCCATCTCCTTACCTTTCCATCCCTCACCTGACTCGCCTGTCCATCCCCTCACCTGTCTCACCCATCCATCCCTCACCTGTCTGCCTCCTCATCTGCCTTTCCATCTGCCCCTTTCCCACCTGGCATTTCTCATTTGTCCCCTGCTCATGAGTCTCCTGCCTGTGGAAATTTCAGTCACCCAAACTCACGGCTCCCCTTCCTTGTGCACCACCTCATCCATGCACCTGTCTGCCTCTCCACCTCTGTCACGTGGCCTCCCAGTCCCCACTCATGACTGCTGACTAAATGTCCTTTGCCTCTGCTCCAGTGGCCTGTCCCCTGACACATCATCCCTCACCTGTGAGCACCTCCCTATCCCTCTCACTTGTCCTCACCTGTCATCCTCACCTGTATGTTTCTCCGGTCCCCTCTTTACCTGTTCGCTCACCTGCCCTGACTCTCTCAATTGCTCACCTGAGCCCTCCTCACCTCCTCAGACGTGCACTCCCCACCCACTCACCTGCCTTACCGGTCGTGTGTTGGCTCCGCCCCCCTCACCTGTACATGAGGTCGATGAGCATCTCGGGGTCTTCCTGGTGCTCTTTCATCTTCACCGTGTCAGTCAGGATCATGTGCAGGTTGAACATCAGGTCCTGGACCTGGAGCCAAAAGGGCGCGGGAGGTGAATGGGGCCAGGAGGCGGGGCCGGGGGTCCCAGGGCGGGGTGGCGGGCCTGGCAGGTGTCACCTGCTCTGCGAAAGTGCTGTCCCGCAGCCCCGCATCCTCCTCAGCGTAGGTGAGGATGGTTTTGAGGGACCGTCGCAGATGCTCCTCGCTGAAGTTCTGTGCCGTCCCCACCAAGGACGACAGCGACATGGTCACCTGCATCTTCACGCGGGCAAAGTTCTGAGGGGAGAGAGGGGACCCGTGAGACTTAGACCGCAGACTTCATGTCAGGGCCTGCCAGACCTGCCAGCATGGCTGCCGCATCCTTACCCCTCAGTTGTCCTGACAGCTCAGCAACGGCCCCTTGCCTCCCTCTGCGCAGAGACCCCGGGCCAGCACCATGCACGAGCCACGCCCCCATCTCACTCACATGGCCAATCTCGAAGTTCTGGCGCATGAGCAGGTAGAGCGAGGCGCTGGCGTGTGTGCGGATGGCACTCACGCAGCTGCCGCAGTGTCGCAGGAGCCTCAGGCACAGGTCAGCACACAGCTCTGTGTCCTCCTCGAAAAGCAGCTCCGGGAACTGCCGGGGATCCAACAGACACATCCAAGCCCCTTCCCGTTGGGCTCAGAAGGTCCCAGGTGGGGCCTACTCAGGCAGGGGCACCTGTGTGCACCCTGTCCTTTACAGCCAAGCACAGTAGCTTTGGCATCAGACCTGGGGGACCCCAGACGAGGGACTTAGCCCCTCTGATGCTTGCTTCTTTCCCCTGTAAACTGTGGCAAGAGCCTCATCACATGGAATTGCTGAGCACACAGTAGGCGCTCAATGAACGAGCTACTGTTTTTTCTTTGTATTTTTATTTCTTTTACTTTTTATTTTTTTTTGAGTTGGAGTCTCACTCTGTCACCCAGACTGGAGTGCAGTGGCCACTCCCGGCCACTGCAGCCTTGACCTGCTAGGCTCCGGCGATCCTTCTGCCTCAGTCTTCCGAGCAGCCAGAATTACAGGCGTGCGCTACCACGCCCGGCTAATTTTTTTATTTTATTGTAGAGATGAGGTCTCGAACCCGTGGGCTCAAGCAATCCACTCACCTCAGCCTCCCAAAGGCGCGAGATTACAGGCTGAGCCACCGAGCCCGGCTTCTTTTACTTTTTTTTGAGTCAGAGTCTCACTCTGTCACCCAGGCTGCAGGGCAGTGACACACTCATGGCCACTGCAGCCTTGACCTGCTGGCTCAGGTAATCCTTCCATCTCAGCCTTCCAAGGGGCTGGAACCACAGGCATGCGCCACCACGCCTGGCTAATTTTTTGATTTATTGTAGAGACGAGGTCTCACTGAGTTGCCCAGGCTGGTCTCGAACCTCTGGATTCAGGCAATCCTCTCACCTCACCTCCCAAAGTGCTGGGATTACAGGCATGAGCCACGGTACCCAGTCTAGAATCTTTTTTCTCACTCTCTTTTTTTTTTTGGAGTCTCACTCTGTTACCCAGGCTGAGTGCAGTGGCATGCTCACAGCCACCCCAGCCTTGACCTACTGGACGCAGGCGATTCTTCCGCCTCAGCCTTCCAAGTAGCTGGAATTACAGATATGTGCCACCATGTCTGGCTAATTTTTTTATTTATTGTAGAGATGAGTTCTCTCCAAGTTGCCTAGGTTATTCTCAAACCCATGGGCTCAGGCTATCCTCTCACCTCAATATCCCAAAGTGCTAGGATTACAGGCGTGAGCCACCATGCCCAGCCCTCTTTTTTTCAAAGAGACAGTTCTGTCGCGCAGGCTAGAGTACAGGATGGCTTACTGCAGCCTCATCCTCCCGGGCTCAAGTGATCCTCTCATCTCAGCTTCCTGAGTAGCTGGGACTGTAGGTGTATACTGCAACACCTGGCTAATTTTTTTTTGTAGAGACAGGGTTTCACTCTGACACCCAGGCTGGAGTGCAGTGGTGCGATCATAGCTTGCTATAGCCTCAAACTCCTGGGTTCAAGTGATCCTCTCACCTTAGCCTCCGTAGTTCCTGAGATTACAGGTGTGAGCCACTGTAACTGGCCTAGAGCTGCTATTATTGTAAGAATCATGGTTGTCGAGTGCTGCTCACCTTAGACACCAGGGCCCGCTGGGTGGCCAGGCCATGCTGCAGGAAGAGGGCGCTCTGGGCAGTGCCCAGACTGTACAACACAACCTTCAGCACTGCACCCAAGATGCTCTCCCGGGCCTCAGAGAGCATCACCGTCTGGAGGAGAGGGGGCCAGAAATCCAGGTGTTAGAGTCTAGGGCAGTTGCAGGGGTAGGGAAGGAGGAGGATTATGGAGTCAAAAACCACAGGGTATACACTGTGGGGTCTGAGCTCAGGGTGGATGCCAGATCAAGCCTTACCTGCACTATGATCTCCAGTGTGTCCAGAACCACCAGGCTCGCCTCGGTCGCCAAGTTCCCTTCCACCAGGGCCTCATGTTCCATCTCATCCTTGGTCCTGAGTGGGAGGAGGTCTTGGGGGGGCCAGGCAGGGAGAGACCCCATGCCATGGCTGGGCTTTCTCCCACCCCTGGCAGCCCAGAGGGCACCAGCTCCCTGGAAACTGGACTGAACCCAGCTGACTCCCTCCCGCCCACACCCACTTGTCCACGCGGTCCAAGGTCGGCTTCCAGTGCGTGACGCTCTTCCGCCAGCGCACATTCTCCTGGGTCCCAAATGGGCTTCTCTCTGAGACGTGTGGATGCACGTTCACATGTGTGTGAAAACACAAGGACACACATGAGTGGGAGGAGAAACAGACACGCACGTACTCAAGCGGCGTGACCCATGAGGACACTGGGTGCAGCGGAAGCCACCGGGTAGATGCACACAGGGGGAGACACAGATGACAGATGGGGACACTGAGGCCCATGGATATGGTGATGACATGTGGGCTTTTCTCTGGGGAAAATGAGGATAAGGGGTTGGGGACAGACCCCTGGTGGGGACCCTTGGGTGTGAGCCTGGAGCAGCTGCTGAGGAAGGGGGCACGTCAGCCTCTTACCACGACTCCGGCGAACCATTTCCTGCCGAGCTCCAATGGTGCCCAGGATGGCCTCCTCCAGCTTCGCCTTCATGTCCAGGGACTTTTTGAAGGTGAGGCTGTTGATGCGCTCAAAGGCTTTTTTCCCCTGGGAGGACAGAGGACTCAGTTCAAGGTGGACCCTGCTCTGTCCAGACTGGGTTAGCCGGGATCACCTCCTTTCTCACCCCCAGGAGACTGGGATCAAAGACATCATTCACCCCTTTCCTCTAAGCTCTCAGCACCTTCCAAATTCTTTTTTTTTTGAGTTGGAGTCAAACTCTGTCACACAGGCTGGAGTGCAGTGGCACGCTCATGGCCACCGCAGCCTTGAACTGCTGGAATCAGGTGATCCTTCCGCCTCAGCCCTCCAAGTAGCTGGAACTAGAGGTGCGCGCTACCACACCCAGCTAATCTTTTGATTTGTTGTAGAGATGAGGTCTCGCCAAGTTGCCCAGGTGGGTCTTGAACCCACGGGCTCAGGCAATTCACTCACCTCAGCCTCCCAAAGAGCGGGATTACAGGCTGAGCCACCGAGCACGGCTTATTTTTTAAAATTTATTGTCGAGACAAGGTCTCACCAAGTTGCCGGGCTGGTCTTGACCCCATGGGCTCAGGCAATCCTCTCACCTTGGCCTCCCAAAGTGCTGGGATTATAGGGCCACCACATCTGACCTCCAAATTCTTTTATTGTACACGTATTTATTATTTTTAGAGACAGGGTCTTACTCGGTCGCCCAGGCTGGAGTGCAGAGGCACAATCACAGCTGGTCACAGTCTCGACCTCCTGGGCTTAAGTGATCTTCAGGTAGCTGGGATTACAGGCACAAACCACCACATTCGGCTAATTTTCTCATTTTTTGTGTAGAGACGAGGACTTGCTATGTTGTCCAGGCTGGTCTCAAACTCATGGGCTCAAGTAATCCTCCTGCCTTGGCCTCCCAAAGTGCTGGGATGACAGGAGTAAGCCACTGCACCCTGCCTCCACCTTCCAAATCCTATTTCTGAAGGCATTTCCAACCTTATCCCTCTGCCCCCAGACTCCTCTGCACATGAAGACCACCCGCCCCTCCACATCCAGCCAGGGGAAGCCCTGTGCTTGCCCTCCTCACCACTCCTTTGCCCCCTTCTGCTCCCTGGAACCTTGTACTCGAAGGCGGCCAGGCAGAGGTAGAGCAAGTCCAGGAGGCGTCCCAGCTGCGGGAGGGCCAGGTCAGTGGTCCAGCGCTGCAGAAGTCCAGGCTCTGCATTCTTCAGCACCCACAGCACACAAGCTAGTAAGGTCCGGCTCGATTCAGCGGAGAGGGAGCAGCCTGCGCGTGACGCCTGGGGCCACAGAGGGGATGACATTAATTCTCATTTTCTCCATGTGCAATAAATCTGCATCTTGTAAAATCCTTTCTCTCACCCAGCCAGATGGCATCTGTGAGGATGAGTCTGGGACTCACCGTGGGCGGGCCCTGGGAGATGCTGGCCCGGGAGCCGGGGGCCAGAGGGCCACCAGCGATGGCCATGGCCACGGAGGGGTTGATGGTGCCCCCGATGTCCCCTTCGCCTTCTGTGTCTGAGTCCAGCATTGAGGCCAGTCTTGACCGCTGACCTGGGCCCTCTGTAGGGAACGGCGAGGAAAGGAGAATGAAGCCTTGCCACATGCTGTCCTGCGGTCTCCAATTTCCCTGCTCCAACTAGCTTGGGGTCTCTGGTTACCTACTCCCAGAACTCACCAATATACTTTTTCCTTGTTTGTTTGTTTTGAGACAAGGTCTCACTCTGTCACCCAGGCTGGAGTGCAATGATGAAATCATAGCTCACTGCAGCCTCAAATTCTTGGGCTCAAGTGATCCTCCCACCTCAGCCTCCCGAGTAGCTGTGACTACACGTGTGAGCCACTATTTCCAGCTAATTTGTTAATTTTGATTTTTGTGTCTGTGTGTGAGTTGGGGTCTCATTCTGTTACCCATGCTGGAGAACAGAAGCACGATCATGGCTCTCTGCAGCCTTGACCTCCTGGGCTCAGGAGATCCTCCTGCCTCAGCCTTCTGAATAGCTGGGTCTACGGGTACACGCCCCCATCTCTGGCTAATATTTTGATTTTTTTGTAGAGATGAGGTCTTCATATGTTGCCCAGGCTGGTCTCAAACTCCTGGCCTCAGTGACCCTCCTGCCTCAGCCTCCCAAATTGCTAGGATTATAGGCATGAGCCACCATGCCTGGTCTAATTAGATACATTAACCATGCAACTGTCTGTAAGCTCTACAAGGCCTGGGTCTATCTGCTCAGACCACTGCTATACACTCAGCATTTAGCACATGGCCTGACCCACAGAGCAGTCATAGTAAAAATAATGACAATGATGATGATGATGACAATAGTAATGTTGGTGCTATTATTATAGCATCAATTAGTGCTCCTACAGCATCTCCTACATGCCAGGTGCTGTCCTAGGCACTTAAAAAGTGTTCATTCTAGCCGGGCTCAGTGGCTCAGCCTGTAATCCCGTGCCTTTGGGAGGCTGAGGTGAGTGGATTGCCTGAGCCCGCGGGTTCGAGACCCGCCTAGGCAGCGAGACCTCATCTCTACAATAAATCAAAAAATCAGCCGGGCGTGGTAGCGCATGTCTGTAATTCCAGCTACTCGGAAGGCTGAGCCCGAAGGATGGCCGGAGCCTAGCCGGTTGAGGCTGCGGTGGCCGGGAGCGGCCACTGCACTCCAGTCTGGGCGACAGAGGGAGACTCCAACTCAAAAAAAAATGTTCATTCTTGGGCGTGGTGGCTCATGCCTATAATCCCAGCACTTTGGGAGGCTGAGGTGAGAGGATTGCCTGAGTTCACGAGTTCAAGCCTGGGCAACTTGACGAGACGCATCTTTACAATAAGTCAAGAAAAATTAGCCAGGTGTGATGGCGCATGCCTGTAGTTCTAGCTACTTGGAAGGCTGAGGTGGAAGGATCGCCTGAGCCCAGCAGGTCAAGACTGCGGTGGCCATGAGTATGCCACTGCCCTCCAGCCTGGGCAACAGAGTGAGACTCTAACTCAAAAAAAAAACGTTCACACTTGGCTGGGTGTGGGGGCTCGTGCCTGTAATCCCAGCACTTTAGGGAGCTGAGACGGGATCGCTAGAGGCCAAGAGCTTGAGACCAGCTTGGGGAACAAAGTAAGTTCATGTCTCTACAAAAAATAGAAAAATTAGCCGGATATGGGGCACACTTGCAGTTCTAGCTACTTGGGAGGCTGAGGCAGGAGGAGCACTTGAGCCCAAGAGTTCGAGGCTCCAGTAAGCTGTGATTGTGCCACTGTACTCCCAGCTTGGGTGACACAGTGAAACTCTTGTCTGAAAAAAAAACAGTGTTCACTCTTAATCATCACAACAACCCTATGGAAGTAAATGTTTTTATCGTTCCAATTTTATGGAAGAGAAAACTGAGGTACAGAGCAGTTAAGTGACTTGTCCAGGGTAGAGCTACGATTTTAACCTCAATAGATTGATTCCCAAATCTATGATCCTAAAAAGAGTAATCCTCAATCCTTCCAAAAAGAAATCTCAAGAGAAGGAAGAGTTTCCAAGAAAAGTACAACTGATCTTGCCTTGGAGTTTCCTGAAACAAAAGGCAGACTGAATCTAACCAAAGATCCAGCCCAGCTCAATCCCTGCCTGGACTGAGGTGATCAGCCTGTTATCCTAGGGTTCTTATATGTACAATGTCCAGGATATAATAGAAAACTATTAGACATGGAAGAAGACAGAAAAAAATGTAGTTGATAAGAGAAAAAGAGACAAGACACAGACACACAGATGAAAATGTTGAAGCTGGCCAACAAGGACTTTAAAACAAAAGTCAGAGAAAAAGATGGGCAGAGATGGGCCCAAAGATGGAGAATTTCAACAGAGAATTAGGATCTACTAAAAGAAAAAAAAGACACTTTATGACTGAAAAATATAATATCTGAAATGAAGAACTCAATGGATGAGGTCAACAGGAGACTGGACACCACAGAAGATATAACTCAAAGACAAATGAGTAAAAAATTTCCCACCTGAAGCACAGAGAGCAAAACAAATAGAAAAACAGAGCATGATGGATGCATGACATGATCAAAATGTCTAACATACGTGTAATCGGAATCCCAGAAAAAATGAGGTAGAAAAAAAAATTCAAGAGATAATTCAAAAGACAGAGAATTTCCCCAAGCTGATGAAAGGAATCAACCCGCAAATCCCAACTGTGTGCCTCCAACCACTGTGTCATACTGTCCCCATAGTGTCAACCTGTGTTTGCCAGACAAATGGGTAAAGGAAGGAACGTGGGGCTCCAACTGCCTTGTCGCCTGGATTTGCTCTTTTCAGAAAACAATAAACAGTATAATAACATCTCTCATCTATTGTGAGCTGACAATGTATCAGTGCAACAGTCCCCCAAGTTTTCTCATAACCCTATGAAGTACTTGGTCCTATTACTTTGCTCATTTTACAGATGGGAAGCCCGAAGTTCAGAGAGGTTATGGCTTGCCTAGGGCCCCATGGACCTGCTCTGCCAATCCTACTGCCCAGACTCTTAGCCCTAACTGTTCTCTCTCTCACCCTTTCTGTCCTGTGCCTTGTGTGGCCAAGCCCCTGGAATGTGACACCAACCCTCCCCAGTCTACCCACCAACAAAGTCATGTAGCCGTGGCAGTGTGTCCCGTGCAAGCGACAGCAGCGGTAGGTACAGCTCAGCCACACGAGCCTTCACGGTAGCCTCGGCATAGCGGGGGTCAGTGTCATGGCTGCAGAGCAGGCTGTGCACAGCGCTGATGGCCTTCTTGTGCAACAGGAAAGCCCTGTGGGGGAGCAGGGTATTCAGGACAGAGCAGACGTGGCTCCCGGATTGTCCCACCTGTCTGGGGCCAGACAGGACTGGCACTCACCCCTCAGCCTCAGGCTCGAGGGCCAGAGCCAGCTCCGTCAGCAGGAGCCCAGCCAGGAAGTGCTGCTGCCGGAATGGCCCACTCAGCTCAAACATGCTGGTCACCTTGGGGTCTGGGGCCTGGCTGGAGAAGGTGGAGCTCTGTGGAAGAGGGGGAGACACTGGTCAAGGGTCAAAGGTGAGAGACTGCCCACCATGAAAGCCATTTAGGAGGCAAGAAACATCATGGTGTCGAGAGTCAGAGATGAGAGACTGGGCTAGCTCATGTGGAGGTGATGGCAGGGGGATGCAGGTTAAAGGCTAGAGATGAGAGGTTGGGGTTAGCCCATCTGTGAGGTATGAGGGCATGGGGCCAAAGGTCAGAGAGTTGAAAAATGACAAATGGAGCCGGGCTCGGTGGCTCAGCCTGTAATCCCAGTGCTTTGGGAGGCTGAGGTGAGTGGACTGTCTAAGCCCACGGGTTCGAGACCCGCCTGGGCAACTTGGCGAGACCTCATCTCTACAATAAATCAAAAACTAGCCAGGCATAATGTGTGCCTGTAGTTGCAGCTACTTGGAAGGCTGGGGCGGAAGGATCAATGGAGCCCAGTAGGTCGAGGCTGCAGTAACCGGGAGCGGCCACTGCACTCCAGTCTGGGTGACAGAGTGAGACTCCAACTCAAAAAAAAAAAAAAAAGACAAATGGAACACCGGTCTGGGAATTAGGATTCAGCAGTGAGAGAGCAGAGCTGCCAAAATGATGGGTCAGGGGTGAAGGTCAGAGGTAAAAAGTCCAACATAAGGGATCAATCAGTCCACTGGGGCAGAAGTGACTGTAAGAGGAAATCACAGAAACTGGGCTGCAGGTAAGAGGAGAGGTCATAGGAGAGGAGGTGGAAGTCAGGCCAACCCACCTGGGAGGTGGTGGAGGACACGGAGGGGGAGGGAGAGGCCGGGGGTGACAGGGGGCAGCAGGGCAGGTTGAGGGTCACGTAGTGCTCGTGGCTGCACAGGATGCGAGTGAATTCCATGCGCAGGGTCAGCAGGGCCGAGGGGTTGGGGGCCGATTGGAGCCGAGTGGCCACCTGGTGGGGGGAGGGTGAAAAGTGGCTAATGGTGACATCAGGATCACCCCCTCGTTGCCCCCAAACCCCGCCCACCCACTCGCTTACAGCTCCATACCCGGCGCGCCCACTCGGCTTAC